CTCTCCCATTATATCTGAGGGTTAAAAGTTGCGCAGAAAATGTGTACGATCTGATGCGCGCAAAATTACTTTTCTGACATTTTATGTATTTAATTTAGGGGTTAGGTTACCATATTTATTCATTTCGCGCCGGATAAGGAAGGGATTTCTCAAGATGGTGAATTTGTCCCTCTGTTATAAACTCATTTTCCCTCCAAGAGAAATGGCACGAATATCTGTCAATGGTGTATTTAAACATTTAGATTGTTATCCAATAGCTAACTCTCAAATATGAACAATTTGTCCCTCCAGATGTTTAGTCCAATACTCCAGTTTTCTCAGTGTATAAAAGCTACGATTTTTTATAAAACTCACTGTTTATACTTATCCAAAATCTTTAACCCCCTCCCCCTACATTTTTTTAATAAAATTTCATAATTACTTGGTGGTTTTAAGTACTGATTCATAGTTCTAAATACTGTGAAAATATTAGCCCGATCTAACAACTTGCAATTTTGACATTGGTACACTTGAGAAAATTTGCCCCTTATATATTACATACACATTTTGAGATTCAAAATTGTTTAAAAACAAATTTGTAATTGCAAAAATTGATTTTTTTTTTCTGGAGAAGATAACGAATCCAAATATTATAGTTACAAAAAAATCGAAGGGGTGCTTATGCCCAAAAAAATGATATTAAAATTTTTTTTGACTTTTTTTCCGGGCAAATTTTGGATTTTTTTTCTTTAATATTGCACTTTGAATGGTTAGATAATCAACTATTATTACCTAAAATATAAACAAAATCTAAGTAAATGTATAAAAGTTATACGTTTTTCAAAAAAAATGTGCTTTAATGTATCATGCCCGGTAAAATCCACAATTTTGAAAATTTTGAAAAATCTTTTTTTCCTAAAATCTTCTGTCATAAAACACTACCTTTATACTAAGTTTCACAAAAATTGAAAGACCCATGACCAACTTTGATTTTTTTGAGAAAATTTGACCCAGTGGTTATCGTTCCGGGTTTCAAAGTGCGTATTCGTTAGGTTCAGGTGTGAGCGTCCCCCCTGCGTCAAATATTTATTTCATAAGTTTAAATTAATTCTAAGGTATATAAATACAAAGTCAAATATAAATATGTTCAAATACAATAATTAATTTTTTTCTTTTAATTAGTTTCTCTCTTATTTGATAATAAGAATTTGATTAGCAATTTCAAATAATTATGATACACAGTGTAAATCTAATATTATTCTCCTAGTCAATTTGACTATTTTTTTCTGATTACATCGACTAATTTTCCTGGTCACTTTAACTATGCTTGAATCTTATTACTTTGACCAGGATTCTATAGTTGGCTCCTCTCGTAACTAGGAAACCTAGTCAATTCCTGGTATACGGGTCCTAGGCATTTTTTTCGGTGAACTTTTATTTTTTTAGCAGCCCCGACTGTCATTAGAGAAACCGTCCCAAGCGTCGGGCGAGTTATAGAATTGGAAGGCTCAATTTATAGAAAATTGGTTCTCTAAATAAGATTTTAATGTTTTCACAAACCTTTCAATTGAAGCAATTAGGTTGTAAAGTAGGGTAACCGTTATTTTGCAAAAGTTGTAATTTCTTAGGTCGCTGAGCTAAATTTGCTTTATAATGTGAAAAAATGAGCTATGCACAAGAACAGCCCAATAGATCAATATTAACCCGTTCCATCGAAAGGTTAAAGTTTAAATGGGGTTTAACATAGGATTAGTGCACTTTTTTACATTTTGTATGATAACTTTTTTTATTAATCTTTTGCCTTGGTGGCATATATATTTATTTTTTTGGATGTGCTGAACACGAATCCGATGTCAAAAATAAATTTTGACAGATTACAGCTGTCAATCTTTTTAAAACGACAGTTTTTGTGTTTAATTTAGTAAATTAAACAAAATTTACTCATATAACAGTATTTTAAGAACACTAAGGTCAAACTTAATAGCAATATGTAAGCTTGGCAGTTGACAGCTGTCACACTTTTAAAAACGAGAGTTTTTGACAGTTTTTAAATTAAATTACTCATATAAAAATATTTTCAGAGTACTGAGGTAAACCTAAATATAATTATATAACATTGACAGTTGACAACTGTCAATTAAGCTATCAAACTTTTTAAATTAAAATACCTGGAGCTACGATAAAGAACAGAAGAAATTTATTATTTATGTCGTTGAAGGATATAACAAAGTTTAATATTGATTGTAATAAAAGCACCCTAACAACATTTAATAAATACACAATTTTAAGGAAAAGAAGGTCCTTCTTTAAAAATAAAATTGGTATGGTTGCAAAATGCATTTAAGTGGTTAAATTTTATTAATTCACACTAAATTTTTATATATTATGATAAAAAGTATCTCTTAAAATATAAAAAAATTATTGTTTTGAATGTAATCAATATTTTAAGTACCGTAATTTATTTTTTTTATTCATACCACAATCCGTCAAATTAGAGATAGCACGGTTCAAAACATCACCTCGAGATGGGACAGTTTAAAGTATTACCAGAAGATAGGATTGTATCACACTGAGGTATCGAATTAATCTCAGTGTGCTTAAAAACACTTGTATACAAGTAATTTAATGTAAAAAGTCTCTATTTCAAAAAGTTGACAGCTTAATTGACAGTTGTCAACTGTCAATGTTATATAATTCTATTTAGGTTTACCTCAGTACTCTGAAAATATTTTTATAAGAGTAATTAAATTTAAAAACTGTCAAAAACTCTCCTTTTCAAGAGCGTGACAGCTTAATTGTCAGCTGTCAACTGCCAATATTATATATTGCTACTTAGTTTGACCTAAGTGTTCTTAAAATACTTTTATATGAGTCAATTTTGTTTAAACTCCTACAAAAACTGTCGTTTTCAAAAGATTGACAACAGGAAGCTGTCAAAACTTATTTTTGACATCGGATTCGTGTTTAGCACATCGAAAACCATGAATAATACACTACCGTCCACGAGTAGCAGGACGATTACGGGTGACTTCAAATAAAAGGGAATTCTGCCTTCGGTGCATGTAAAAAAATAATTTTCAATTAAGGGGTTATCAATATTATTTTCGGATGATTTATGTTCTCAAAATTACAGAAATAAAATTCACCGAGCATTACATGCCAGAATTTTTATAAAAAAAATTATTTTGTTGCAGAATACCGTCAAAATACTGAAAATGGGGGACAGTAATGACAGGGACAGTAATGACATTCTGGCGAAAATTGAATTTCAGTCATTACATAAGTGTTTTAAAATATTCTGTGCAATGCACGGTGGTCTTCAAGCACTTTTAGGTTTACCTAAAATGAGTCAAAATTGTGCTAACGCAGTTTTATCTGGAATCGTCCCAAGATTCCAAATTTTCATTTCCGAAAATCGTAGCTGATTCTTTTTTCGAAAAAAACATATATAGAGTAATGTCACCTTGAGTGGGCCGCCTACGCTTTTTTTCTAAAAAATTCTTTATGAAAGCAAATTAATCGGAGGTTTCTATTTCAAGCTTTAGTTTAAATCCCTAAATAAGTGTTTATGCCATAATAGCTTTGATTTTTTTTATTGGAAAAAACAATTGACTTTTAAAAAAAGCTAATTTTTAAGGAATGAAAAAAGTGTAACCTTGAGTGGACCACTCCTAAAAAATTGTAAAAGTTATTCTAAATTCTTTAATGTATTTAATATTTCTGATATATTGAAACAAAATTTATGCTTATGCAGCTTCAGACCATGTATGTGTCGCAATGTTTACAAGTGAAACCATTTTTAATAATTTTGTCACATATCACATCAATATCACAAAAAAATTAATAAAGAACATAAATCATAGTTTCAAACTAATTTATTGTCAATTTATATCTAAAAAATGTTAAACTGAAATTAAAAATGGAAAAAACAGGCAGTCCACTCATGGTGACAAACAACTTTTTATGGCAGACACCAAAATTTTTTTTTTAGTCAAAATTATCACTTAATTAAACTAAGACAATCAATTTCAATGTCCAAAGTAGTAGGAAAAAAATAAGTTACCTTTTAAAACTTAAATTTTACACTACTTTTACACTTCCAAATCACTTTACTCATTGAAAGAGCGACTTCTTTTTTGGTTTGTGTTCTCAAAAATGCGTTATATCAAACGGTAACGTATATGATTATTGCGGAACTTAATTTCTTACGGTTTCTAGGTGCGGTGCTGCTATTCGCACTATTTATTTCACGTTTCCGCTGTCAGATAACTTAAAAGCTCAGGCGGTCCACTCAAGGTGACATTATCCCTATGGGAAATTCCACGTGAGATTTTAGTCGACAGTGGGATTTTTTTACAATTAACTTTTTAAAACTGTCTACAGCGTAGACCCCTTAATTTAAAACAAAGAACACAAATAGATTAAAATTTATACCCTGCAGACAGTTCTAAAAAGTTAATTGTAAAAATATCCCATGTGATGCTTGCAAGTGATTTTTGAAAATGTTTTAAAACTCATTTAACACATCAGGCCCATTTCAGGACTTTTGCAAACTCTCCTCTATATTATAAGGTATAAATAAATTTAAAAAAAATTTTTTAAATCCGGTCCAAAGTTAAAAACAATTAATTTGTTTATAAAAAAATTTTTGTTTACATTTCTTAAAACTCGAAAGAAAACTAAAACTTTCATTCTTTGACAACTTTTTCCTAAACTCAATATTTTCGGAATTATAAGCTACTGAATATAGGTCTACAATTGAAGCGTTGGGTGCAAGAAGGGCGTTAGGCGGATAACGCCCGTTTTGATATTATTGAATGAGAATGATAATAATACCCTCTAGTTTATATTACCAAAAATTCATTTCGTTAGGAGGCTTTTTGACGAAGCTAGAAATAATTATCTTTGCGTATGTTACTCGATTGCGTAGCTTTAAATATTTTTTAATTAAAGTAAAATTTAAAAACAATTGAAAATTGACAATCCATAGCAGGATATTTATAGTTAAAATAAGGTTACAAAATGTCAGACACTACAGAATACATAAATACAAGTGATTCTGAAAGTACAGATGATTCTGTTTGTAATTTGGAATCCAATAACGGTAAAAAAAGAGTAAAAAATCAAAAAAAGTGGAAAAGAAATGTTCGAAAAAAAAATAGAGCCACTGGTGAGGGTTATGAAGCAACAAATGGTAATTTCCAACCGGGGAAAGTATTTAGTCCAACAAGTGTATGTTGCTCAAAGAAATGTGCTGCGAAAATAGAAATAAATGACCAAAATCAACTGTTCGATTACTTTCACAATTTCGAAGAAAAAGAACGACAAGATATATTTTTAATGTCATGTCTTGAAAAATTTGTTAAACTTACAGAGAGTGTTGGAAATGATAAAATAAGGCGAGAAAACCAATGGAAATATTTTTTGACTGTACAAAGTTTAAAAATTCCAGTATGCAGAAAACTATTACTGTCGATATTGCAGATATCAGAAAAGCGTTTAAGAACAGTTCAACGATTTAAATTGACCGGTACGATTAAGAGTGTTTTAATTCGTTTTAATAAAAAAGCTTTACTTTTCTTTTTAATTCAATATATTTATAAGTAGCTAATAAATAAAAAATAAATTTATACATAAATATTTAGTAAATTTTTGCACAATTATTTAATAAATTAATTTTTTCTATTTTTGGAAGACGTATATATGTGTTTTTCTTTTACCTTTTATATACGACTTCCAAAAATCGAAAAAAATTGATTTATTATATTTATAAGTAATAAAAAAATAATAATAAATAAAAATGATAATTTATAAATCGCTTTTAAAGGTGAAGAAATTAAAGATGGAAGAGGTAAACATGACAACAGACCTAATAAAATATCTGAAGATGTTTACGCTATGATTCAAGAACATTGGGCTACATTTCCAAGCGAAAATTCACATTATGGACGAGCCAATAACAGAAAATATTTTGAAAATCCCGACTTGAACGTACAAAAGCTTTACATTTCCTTTAAAGAGTATTATTTTAATCAGAAAAAATCTACTTTGGAGATGAGTTACAACACCTATCACAGATATTTTCGAGAAAACAGTATCTATTCATTTCGACAACCAAGGACAGATGTGTGCGATTTTTGCACAGAATGCAAAATTAAATTGAAAGTTAATGCTGAAGATCCTTGCAAGCATCAATATTTAATTCACCAGGAAAAAACCAGAGTCTACAATTTTGAAAAAAAGAAATATTTAGATGACTTAAAAAATGATCTTGCCAAAGATGTACTGATAATCGAGTTTGATTATGCTCAAAATTTGCCACTGCCGAAACTGAACGTTACTTCGCAGTTCTACAAAAGATTGTTGTGGCTTTATAATTTCAACGTTCACTGCCATAACGATGGATCAAGTTCATTTTATTGCTTTTTAGAAACAGAAGCAAAGAAAGATTCAAACACTGTCTGCTCTTTCCTTTATCATTTTATTAAAAAAAAACTAGAGGATTTTCCTACCATCAAAAAAATTGTATTTTACTCAGATTCCTGCGGAGGGCAAAATAAAAATATAAATGTCGTTATGTTCTGCACATGGTTGGCAAGCAGTTTGAACATCATCATTGAACACATATTTCCAGTGCGAGGACATTCCTACAATCAATGTGATAGGAACTTTGGAAAATACAGCAAAATATTGAAAAATCATGAAACTGTCGAAAATGTGGATGAATATTTTCATGTAATGTCATCAGCAAGGAAGAATCCAAGCCCATTCAACGTGATCAATGCAAGCTCCCTTATTGAAGATTGGTCAAGTGGTTTACAAAAATTCATTTCAAAAGTTCCCACATCAAAAACTACAAAGACGCGGTTCTCGATTCAACAATATGTAAAACTGTCGTACGATTCGCATGGAACGATAACGAGCTCAAAAAGTTATACTTCAACTGATTGCAAGTTTACTTTTGAAAAAAACAAATTACCAAAAGATAAACTAAAACTAAGTCTGCAGCTGGTAAAACCTTCAGGGGTCAAAGATGCCAAAAGAACTGACGTTTTGTCTTTAACTCCTTATATGAAAAAAGAAAATGCCGAATGGCTAAAACGTGTCCTGATCCAGGAAGGAAATTCTTCTCTCAATCAAGAAGTTTCTCGCAAACCTCGTGGTAGACCACCTAAAAAAATTCAAAATATTGTTGAAGAAGATGATTCCGATCATTCTCAAGACTCTAACGTGTCCGAGGAATATTGACAAGAAAAGCTTAAGCTTTAAAAAATTGTTATTTGTTCATAAAAATTAATTCGATTAATAAAGTTTATTTGTTTTGTTAGATTATATAAATGGGTATTGTTTTTCTCAATAATTAATAATAAATTTTTTATCATATAAAAACTAAAAAAATATTTTTAAAAATTTTCATGCAAAAAAATTTTTTTTTTTAAATTAAAAATGATTTAAGCCTTAAATATATGTTTAAAAATAAAAAATTCAAAAAATATAGAGAAAAATATGTTAAAATTAAAGTTATTTTTAGTTTGAAGTAAAAATTTTACTGATTAAATGTCTGGGTGCAAAAAGGGCGTATGAATAGGTTATGAAAAAAATTGTTTTTTAATAGTTAGTCACAACTTACAGTCAAGTTAACACTTGAAATTGATAGCTGAATAAATGCCCAATTGCATAAAAAAAAGTTTTTTTAATTTGCATTTACAGTTTTTGAATAATTAAAGATTAAAACTTTAACTTGAAATATCTCCGTTCGTCGTTTTTTGTTATGCGCCCTTCTTGCACCCAACGCTTCAATTACAAGTCAAAAATTTCGAAAATTCATAACTCGAAAATTTGTACAATTAAACAAAAATAAAAAAATACGTATCTGTTTTTTTCGATACAGAATAGAAAAAAAATATTTTTTGGCCGATTTTAAGATGTAGACTTAAATATCACGTGGAATTTCCCATATATATGTTTTTTTTCGAAAAAAGAATCAGCTACGATTTTCGGAAATGAAAATTTGGAATCTTGGGACGATTACAGATAAAACTGCGTTAGCACAATTTTGACTCATTTTAGGTAAACCTAAAAGTGCTTGAAGACCACCGTGAATGGCATTCGAAAATACTTGCAAATCTACCTGGAAATTCGTTATTCCTATAATTAATTTCTACCATTTCCTGGATTTTGGGGGACGGGACAGTAATGACTAAATAAGATCGAAATATTCTGCCGTATTTTCTGCCTGCCTGTCAAATAATAACGATAAACCGAAGGTAGCAAATTTTTTTTTTATTTTCGAGATTATGAATCAATATTATAGAAAATTTAACCCTAAAACCTATAACTGAGAGTAAAAAATTTTAAGGAGACTTGAGAAGTAAGTAGGTTTTTTCCAAGGTAAAATTTAAAAAGTGAGAGACATCTGTTCATGATTTTTTTGCGTACAAAAATTAAAAAATTTTATCAAAATGTGTCGAGTTATCAGACTATAAGGGTAGATAAAGCAGTGGAAATTTTTTTTAAAGTTTCAAAAGACATTTGGGAACATTATGAACGTTTGAAACTTACAGAAGTAGCCTGGGGACAGGGACAGCAATGACATTTCTGCCTATTTTTGTTTGTTTCTAATGGGTTATCTCGTTTTCTATTCTGCCAATTGGTATTAAACTTGGAGGGTAAATTTATTTCATCACTAACTACAGAAAAAAGCTTCACATTGACAAAAAACCAACTTATAAGTCAATTTATGAAGCGGGGGACAGCAATATTCCCTTTTATTTGAAATCACCCTTACACGCGACACTATGAAAAAACACGCTATCACTTTTCAATCATATCTCGTAAATAAAAGGAGATACAAAAAAAACTTAAATAAGGTTAGAAAGCTGATTAAATTCTGGCTTCGCGCGGCAGCCAATGAGAGAAAAAGCAGGGACAAATTCATGCGGGGGAACGATGAACTTTCGTTTTTCTTTATGATACTCGTGAAACATCATTTATTATTATCATTTATTTATTATCACTAGAACATAGCGCGCGCGATGCGCGCGCTCATTTCTTGTTTTTCATTGCTTAGTAAGAAATTCTAAAATATTAATTTTTATTAAAAAAAAAGGATTTTGAAAATATTTTCAATAATTAAAAAATTTTAAACTTTTTTTTTTGTGGGTTACATGGCTTGTTGCATAGCAGGTAGTCAAAACATTATTTTAAACTTTTTAAAAGTATTTTATTTAAATAATATTATTCAAAATAATACCATAATATTATTTTTTAACAATTTAATACTTATTAATCTAATAATCTAATTAATGTAAATTAAACGAAAAACTCATGAACCTCTCGAATTTTCAGGGTCGCCTTGTTTTCTTCTGTAAAAGAAAAAAAATTTTTAATTTTTCTCTGGCCTCAATTTTTAATTAAAATTTTTTTTAAATAAATTATTTTCAATATTTTTTGTCAAATTTTTTTAAAAATTTTTAAATTCTTTTGTACAATTCAATTTTACGTAAAATTTTGATTATTTGGAAATTCTTTAATTAAATTTACATTAGAAAATAAAAACTGGAAATAATTTTAAAAAATTTCGATTAAGTTTTTTGAAAAAATTAGTTTTATACAAATTTTAAATAATAGCATGAAAACTTTAAATTTTTTAATATTTTAATTTAAAGTTTTTAGAAAATTCAATTATTTCTAAAAATTACAATTAATAGTAACGTTTCCAAAATTCAATTATTATTTAAAACTTTAAATGAAATTAATTTTTAAATTACTTTTTTTGAGAAAATTCTGCGGTAATTCAATTATTCAAATGGAAAATGTATACAGAAATAATTGAATGTTTTAAAATTGAATTTATCTGCATAATGTTATCAATTAATTTTTAATAATTCAATTCTTTCGATGAATTTTAATAACATTTTTAAGAATAATTACATTTTTCAAGGATTTTGATTAAATTATATAAAAAATAATTTAAATTTTGCAATGAGTATTATTATTAAATTATTGTGAAAATTTTTTTTTTAAAAGTTTTAAACATTTGATTTTTTTCGGGAAAATTTAGGCAAAATTCTACATTTAATAATTGAATTTCTGTGAAATTTTCATTATTTAAGTTTTGTTTTAGAATTCGTTGTAATTTCATAGTTGATGAGACAAACAAAAAGTAAAAAAGTTTATGATTTTTTCGTATATTTTAAACATTTAATTTTTTCCAGTACTTTTAATAAAATAATCTCTGAATTTACTGATTTTCCTGATCTATGGTATTTACCTCATCTTCATTTTTTGGCGCATCAGATTGTCGTTTTACAGGTGTTTTGTTGCATCTGCGTAAGTCCATTCCCGCCATTTTTGGAGTTTCTGCAATTTTTGTTAATGAATTTGATGACTCCACATTTAAGAAGAGACGACCTGAAAAAAATTATTTTTTAAAAAGTGTTTTACATTTCATAAATGTAAACTGTAAATTTATTTACTAAAACTTAATATTTATTATTTTTTTACAATTTTTTTTACTATTTAAATACTTTTTTGAGATTTGTTCAGGGTGACTACTAATCAGGAAATAACTGAGAATTTATTTTGACTGGGTTAATTAAAAAAGTTTTCTTTTATTAATTTGTTTTTTAAAAATCGCTTTTTATTTTAATTTTTATATATTTATTTTTTCATGTTTTTTATTGCAAAGATTAATAATTAAAATTTTTATTAGTTAATTTAAAAAAAGATTCACACTTAAAATTTTTCAATTAAATTGAATTTTTAAATTTTTTTTTGAAAATTCTGAAAAATAAGATTTTTGAGATATTCAATTTTATTGTTTTAAAGTAATTGAAATTTTATAAACCAATAATTGAAAATTTTTGAATTAATTTAAATTTTTTTTATATTTTATTGAAAATAATTGAATTTATTTAAATTTTTCGAAAATAATCAAAGGAAGTTAGTGACCGTAATTATAATTTTATTTTTAAAATATAAAGTCCCTTTTAAAGTTTTAATTTAATTTTTTACTTTTAACAATTTTATTATTATATTATTATTTAATAATTAAAATTATTAAACTTTATATATGTGTATATATTTAATTTACCTCGATTAATTAATTTTCCTTGAATTTGAAGGAAGTCTCCTTTTGTGATGTTTGTCAATTCGGTGAAGCTTGCAATATGTACTTCCAATTTGAATTTGTTTTTGTTGCATATGCACCCTAGTCCATACGAACTGTCGCCTTTGTTGTCCTTATTCAAAACAAATTCACTCTTCAAGAAACCGCAAACTTCTAAAATTTCAGAAAATTATTTTAAAAAATGTAATTTTTGTTAATAAATAATTATTATTTAAAATATTTATTTAAATCTTACTTATCGTATTTCCAACTGAGTCTGCGGCTTCTTCAATTTCTATTGATTTTATTGTTTCTTCTTCCGCCGTAACTTGTTGAAGTATTTTAATACTTGTGCAGGTCTTAAATGTGAGTTCATATGGAACGTCGCCTTTGTTGTACCTTTCGTGTTTCGGTGGCTTGGAGAAGGCTTTATCAATGTGAATAATCTATAAATATTATAGATATTTTTGATTTTTAATAAAATCTTATTGCAAGTTTGATTCAAGTTACAATAAAAATAAAAAAAAATTTCAGAAATGTTTAATTGAAAATATTTAGAATGAAACAAATTTTTAACTTTTTTTAAAAAAATAATTAAATATGATTTGTATAAACTAATTTTTATATTTGTTATTTATTATTATTTTAATTTATTTAGTTTTATTTATTTTGAATTTTTTAAATTAAATTTACCCTTTTTATTTATAAATAAAGTAATAAATAAATAATTCTTTATTTATAAATAAATAAATTGATTTAATTATTTTTCAATTATTTTGTTTGTTTTACATTCTTAATAAATTTTTTATTTTTTAATTTAGATTTTTTATTTATTATTTTATATTTTATTTAATTATTTATTATAATTATTTATTATTATTTTAATTTATTTAGTTTTATTTATTTTGAATTTTTTAAATTAAATTTACCCTTTTTATTTATAAATAAAGTAATAAATAAATAAATAATTCTTTATTTGTAAATAAATAAATTGATTTAATTATTTGTCAATTATTTTGTTTGTTTTATATTCTTAATAAATTTTTTATTTTTTAATTTAGATTTTTTATTTATTATTTTATATTTTATTTAATTATTTATTATAATTATTTATTATTATTTTAATTTATTTAGTTTTATTTATTTTGAATTTTTTAAATTAAATTTACCCTTTTTATTTATAAATAAAGTAATAAATAAATAAATAAATAATTCTTTATTTGTAAATAAATAAATTCATTTAATTATTTTTCAATTATTTTGTTTGTTTTATATTCTTAATAAATTTTTTATTTTTTAATTTAGATTTTTTATTTATTATTTTATATTTTATTTAATTATTTATTATAATTATTTATTATTATTTTAATTTATTTAGTTTTATTTATTTTGAATTTTTTAAATTAAATTTACCCTTTTTATTTATAAATAAAGTAATAAATAAATAAATAATTTTTTATTTGTAAATAAATAAATTGATTTAATTATTTTTCAATTATTTTGTTTGTTTTATATTCTTAATAAATTTTTTATTTTTTAATTTAGATTGTTTATTTATTATTTTATATTTTATTTAATTATTTATTATAATATTTTTTAAAAATTTGTAAAAAATCAATTATTTTCAATTAAATTTTTTTTTTAAATAAAAATTTACATACATTGCCTTTTTGCAGTTTTGGAAGAAATTTTTCAATATCTGCTTCCCAAACAGCACACTGAATTTTTTTTCCGGAACTATTTTCAATTATGACTCGCAAAAGATTTAGTTGCTTTTTTTCACCGTTGACAACATCTTGAATAACGTTGGTAACTTTCATTACAAGTTCTCTAAAAGTCAAAATAATTTTTATTTTAATTAATTATTTATTAAAATTTAATATTTATTTTATTTATAATCGTTAATTTTTTTTTAATTTTTTATTATTTTTATACTTACACCGTTGAATCCCAAAAGGTGATACATTCTGTATCTTCATCACTTGATAATTCAATGTTCATTTTTATTATTTTTAGTTTTATTTTTCAAGTTATTTTGAAAATTTCTTTTTTTTAACTTTTTCTTAGGACTTTAAATGTGTTTATAGCAACCAGTAAAGAAATTAGTAACTTTTGTTAAAACAATTGGTAGATTGGTTTCTATAGAAACGCTTGAGTATTTTGTTTTTGAAAAAGTGTATTGTAGGGTTATATTTTTTCTTAAAATTTGAAATTTGTAAAGTTTTATATTTGTTGAAATTAAAATTAAATATGGAATTATCAAGTGATGAAGATATAAATTGTATAGACATTTGGGATTCAGAAGTGTAAGTTTAAATTTATTTTAACCTATAAATTATTTATTATAAACAAAATTTTAACCTATAAAATAAAGGAAATAAATTGCAAATTTGAATGAATATTTCATTTATAGATTAAAATAATTAATTAAAATAATTTTTTGTTATTAGAGAGCTTATTATGAAAGTTGTTAACGTTGATCAGAAACGTATCTATCAAAGAGGAAATATGATTGAATTGACAGAAATAATTATCGAGAATCGTTCCCGAAAAAAAATTCAGTGTGTCATTTGGGAAAAGGATATTTCAAGATTCTTTTCTGTCTTGCAAAGAGGCAATGTATGTTTTTAAATTATATTTTTAATATTTTGTTAAAAATAATTTATAATGAAATTAAATGTTCTTAAATTATTTGCAGATAATTCACATTGAGAAAGCTTTTACTCAACCGATAAAATGTCCGCGATTGAATATTGGCGATGTTTCGTATCTACTTGTATTTAAATCTTCAACAAGAATCTCAGTTTTGAATTGGAATTAAAACATTAAGAGAGATTTTATTTAAATTATTGCAAAACTAATAAATAAAGGTATATAAAAATAAATGTTTTAAAATTAATTAATTTTCTATTAAATATATATAAAAATTTAATTCATTAAATTAAATAATAATAGTAATAAATAATAATTTGATTAAATATTTTTTAACTTTTATAATAAAGTAATTTAAAGGAATTTAATTAATTAATAAATTTTATTATCTACATTTGAGAAAAACAATAATAATATAATTCATATTATATTTGTATTAACCTAAAAAATATAAAACTTATTTATTTTACTTTGCAGATCTTTTTTGATTCAACTGAGAGTTTTCTAATGACATTTGAAATGTCGAAATTATTGGCTACAAATTTCAAGAATGGTGTTATTTTTTAATTTAAAAAAAGTTAATTTCTTTCAATTATTAGAAAAGAAATGATATTTTTCTTTTATTTAATACGTTTAATTTTTTTGGTTTTCGTTCAATATTTTTAATTTTAATTTATTATTACTTATTTTAATATTTCATTCAAAATTTTATATATTACATTGTTAAATTTATTACATTAAGAAAATAAATAATTGATTGACATAGTATACATTTTCATTTTTTAGTTTATTTAAAATAATTATTTATTTTTTCAAAATTAAGACTTGTTTTTATATTTCAAGAGAAAAAAAATTTTGTTTGTTATTAATTTTTTTGTTTCCGAATTTTTGTAATAATTTTTCTTTTTCAATATTTTTAATTTTAAAATTAATGTAGGTATTCAAAATCATTGAATTCTTGCAAAAAATTTGAGAATAATTCAATTCCTTCAAAGAATTTTATTATTTATGAAAATAATTAAATTCTCGCGAAGAATTATTATAAAATTTTTGAAAAGCCTAATTAAATTTTTTTGAAGAATTATTTTCGATTTTTTTCAAATATTTGAGTTTTTTAAATAATTTTAATTGGAATTTTTGAAAGTAATTAAAATTTATGAACAATTAAATTTCTTTCAAGTTTTTAAAATAGTATAATTTATTCAAGGAATTTTTTTAAAATATACCTATAAAAATAATTAAAGTAATTAAATTATCTTACAAAAATTTTTTTAATTTATTGATTATAATCGATTTTGTTAATAATTGTCATAAATAATTTTACTATTAAACTTTCATTAAAATTATTTATTGATAATTATTATATTAGATAATTTTATTAGAATTTTTGCAAATTATAAATTGAATTGCGAATTTTAAAAATGTCTCAACTCGGTTTTTTAAATTTTACAGGAGAGATTAAAAACGTTTTATTTCAAACAGCTTTAATTAAAAGAGTCCATTTTTTTCATAGTAATTACATACTATTTTGTACGAAAAAATGATAAAATGATTGTTTTAAATTAAAGTGTGTTGGAGAAAATTGATATTATAGTTGTCAGAGTTGAGCCTTTTTTGAAATTCATGAAAAAAATTTAATCGTTTTAATCATAAAAATATATTAATTATATATTTTATTATCGAGAATCAATTTTATTATTTTCTTATTTAATTTTATAATGTAATAACTTAATAACTTTTTTTGAGTTCAAAAACAATTCATGATTAGGTTAGAAAACAAACAATCTTAGGTTAAAATATAAAGGAAAACATATTTTAATAAATTTTTCTTTGTTAAAAGTACCTCAGATGAAATTTTCCTATTAAGAAAACGTCAATGAATATTCAATAATGCAGAAAATACAAAAAAGTTAAATTTGAAAAAATCCGAGTTGAGCCCTTTTCGAAATTTGCAATTCAATTGAATTCTTTTAAAGAATTTAAAAAATTTTTTTTATAAAAAAATGTAATTTTTTAAAATAATTTTAAATGAAAATTTTTAAAATAATTGAATTGGAAAAAGTTATTTTTAACTTTTTAAAATTATGTCTAGTAATAATTATAATTGAAAATAATTGAATTCCTGAGAACAATTTTAATGTTTATAAAAATAATTTAATTTTGTCGATTAATTTTACTACATAACATCTATAACTAATTGAATTGTTTCAAAGGATTTATTAAAATTTTAGAAAAGAATTGGATTCTATCGAAAAATTTTATTAAAAATTTTGAAATTAATAAACAAGAATAATTAAATAGTAAAGTAGTTAATAATTGAATTTTTTGAAAGTTTGAATCTGAAATTATTAAAAAACTCACATTTGAAAATAAAAAGTTTTGTAATTTGCATAATAATAAATGGAATAATGTGAAAAATAATTTTTTGACACATGAGGTCTCTTTTCATAGACCAGGTCACATATAATATTATAAAATAATCTGTAGTCATTTAGTGATTTTTTTAAATCAGATCGCCGATTATGTGAATCCTTGAAAATCATTTTCGAGAGTTCAAAAATAACATTTTCAAAACAACATTTTCGGTTTTTGGAGAATCAGGTTGATGATGACTGGTATTTTTGAAAATCAGTTTCGAAGATTTTTGGCAAATTCATTATAGATGGTCTTAATGGTTCAATTTTAGTTTCGGTACAATGTTTAATGACTCTGAAAAATAGAATAGACTTTCGATTTTATACCTATTAAATAATTAAATATTGGTAATAATTTTTTAAAATTTTAATTACAGACTAATTATTATAGATTAATTACTTTTAATTTTTATTACCTTTAAATGTAAGAAATCGTCAAAATTTTAAAATTAAATTTGTTGATCTTAATTTCTCATTTCTCAGATGTGGTTATATCTGATATTTCAATTCAAGTTTCTTTCTTATTAATTCATATTGGTCTTCTTTTTTGATATTTTTTTTCCTGAAAATTTTGGCAGTTTTTAATTATATATTCATACGAAATTGCTTCTTATATTTATATGCGTTAAATTAAAATTTTTCATTGAATATGAAAAAAATGTTTTAAAAGATTAATTTAAAATTAAATAAAATATTATATGTAAAATTAGTTATTTAAATGGTTTTATTTAAATAATTTAGAATAAATTATATATAGAAATTAAGAATTAATTTTTTTTATAGTAAAGCAGTTTTAAAATGTTTTTTTTCAAAATTTTGATATAAATCTGAATATTAATATAGAATTCAGTCTTTCATTTGTATTTAATTTTTGTGTCAGATAATTTTCATTCAAATAGTTCTGTATAAACGAAATTTTTTATTTTATTAGGCCTGTCGCCAATAAATATTTTAAGAGTTTCCCATGATTTAACACGTGAATATGCTACATATCCTTGACCGTGAGTGAAAACATCTTTTCTTAAATCTACTGCAATTTTTTCAAATGTTTGACCTTGCGCTTTATTTATCGTCATTGCAAATGCCAATTTTATTGGGAATTGTCTTCTTTTAAACGAAAAAGGATATTCATTTTCGCAATAAAGTGTAATGCGATTTAAAAACACTACTTCTCCTGATTTGTCACCTGTTAATATTTCACATTTAAGTAAATGTTTTCCTAAATCTAAAATTAACAATCGTGTTCCATTGCAAAGTCCTTCATTGATACTTAGATTACGAATAAGCATAATTATAGAATATTTTCTTAAACATAATTCATGAGGCGGAAGAGAAGTAGGTGACAAAGTATTTAAGTATTCTGGTAATAAAGCTTCTGTAATAGCACCGTTATCATTACAATTTTCTGTACTATCGACGCTAGTATATATTTTTTCGGTTGTTGCATCTAATAACTCTACTACTTTTATGTTTAATTCTTGTACATCAATGTTTCTTGCAGATAGAATTGCACATTTTGTAGCTAGTTTATATTCATTTCGTTGTAAAAGGTCACCAAATGTATCTATAACTATATCTGTTTCTGTGGGTGCAATACATTGATTAGGAATTTGAATACAGTCTTCAGAGTCGTTTAACAAACCATTGCCTACATTAAGTAAAAATTCAGAAAATTCAATTTCTTGAGGTAAAGTTCTCATGTTTTGTGATAAAGTAAATTTTTCAAAGTGTTTCCACAAAGAACTAAATTTTATTGACAAATTTAAACATTCAGCTCGAGTACCATTTTCCTTTACAGGAAGGAGTTGTCTGAAATCACCACCAAGAATAACGATTTTTCCTCCAAATGGTAAATTGTTTCTTTCAATGTCGCGTAATGTTTTATCCATTATTTCCAAAGCATATCGGGGTGCCATTGGTGCTTCATCCCAAATAAAAACATCACACTCTTTTAAAAAGATTCCTTCTTTGGATTGTAATTTTATGTTTGAGGATGAATCATAGAAAAGAGGAACTGGTAAACCAAATACTTTATGTACAGTTTTTCCTTTAGGAAGAAGAGTAGCCGCAATTCCTGTAAAGGCCATTGTACATACTTGTTTATTTTTACTTTTTAAGAGATAATATAAAGTTGTATATACAAAGGTTTTTCCTGATCCACCTGGACCATCTATATAAAAACAATTATTAAAATTAACATCATCTTTCACATTGTTATTTGCAACTTGTAAAATAATATCTACAAATTCTTTTTGTTTTTCATTTAATTTATTATATTGTTCTTGACCCTTACTCATATTTTCTGAATTAATTTCACTGTTTATTATTTCAGTAACTTCATTTATTATTTGTTCCATTTCAGGAAAATCTGACATTCTTCGTCCTTCTGCACAAATTAAGGTATTAATTTCAGAATAAGCTCGCTTATAAGCTTCTTGTTGACAACCATAACGTGAAAAATCTTCCGACATAGCATTTTTAAATTCTTCCCAAAGGTTTTTGGGATTGGTAGGTTGACAATGGATTAATATGCGTACAAATAATTTTCTAAGACTTGAAGGCATCATCCAAAGTATTGCTTCATTCATAGCTTTTTTCCACTCTTCATCGTCTTCTATAAGACCTAATGCCAGACATGCAGCTGTAAATGTATCATAAGTTATTCCATCCACAGTTCGTAAATCTCCATAACTTTGAGCACCTTTAACATAAAGTAAAAGTAAACGTAAGTGGAATAATTCTACTTGAGTAGGACTTACTGAATACATTCGCCCAATACTTTTAAATTGAAATCTTTGTCTTTTTTGCCACTTAGAAATGTTTTTACCATTAATTTTTGTTTTTTTAAACACATAATTAGAAGGAATATTTGTATATGAGTATTTTCTAGCTTCCTCATCTCTAGAGTTTAATGCAAAATAATCAAGTAACATAGTAACTTGATCAACAGCAGAATCCATTACCTCTTGAAGTGCATTTTCTTCAGTACTCTCTATAAATATATTTTGCTCATTTGGTAAATGTACTGGTAAACGCATTACACTATGACTTTTTTCTTGTAAAGGTTTATTTAAAATTCGCCAGCATGCTTCAACTGGTCCAACATATCTTCCATCAATAAAATTTTTTATTTCGTCATGATTAACAATAGATTCTTCATTTGAAGTTTCACTTATATTTATTGCAGCAGAATCATGTCCTTTATACATATATTTATGTAAGTACTTGACAGATTCTATGCCTCCTCCAACGACCTCAACATTAATATGACAATTGTATCGTTTGGACAAAAATGGATTATAAGGAACAACATATCGATTATCAATTTCATATCCGCCTGTTCTAACAAATGTTGTGTTTGTATCTTTTCGTTGATAATGTACTTGACCTCTTTCATTTATAACTGTCTCTTCTTGAAATGGTTTTGGAAATTTTTTAGAACATTTTCCATTTACAATGCATAAACCTTCTCGACAAGGTCCATGTATATTATGCCTCATAATAATTTTATGCAATTCTGGTTCAATATTGTTATCTGGAATTTCAGCTGAAATGTAACGGTCGATGATAATAGGAGTCGATAATTTGTGATTTTGTTTTAAAATTATAAGTATATGTGCATGAGGTAAACCACGCTTTTGGAATTCAATTACATACAAATGTCCGATTGTGTCGCCAAAAATTTTTTCTTTTACAATGCAGTTAATTAAACTATTTTTCTTTATGTTAAAAACTCGTGCACAGATGTCTGGACGATCAGATGCTACTTGATCTGGAAGAAGATTTTCAATAATTTCACGCCACTTAGGATTACAAGTCATTGTTATAAATAAATCTGGCTTGCCAAATTTTCGAACAATAGCCATTGAATCTTGATAATTTTGCATCATATATCGAGGTGATCCAATAAAAGTAGAAGGAAGAACAATCATTTTTCCAATACGACCATCTACACTATTTGCAGTATTCTGCATGAAATCAAATAATCCTTGATATGTTTCAACTCGTAATTTAGTTTGATTAGATTTACAATATTCTGTCCGGTCTTTTTCTATTTTTACGTAATTATCGACAACCCATTGTTGAAATAATCTTCGACCTAAATTAAAAGTGTTAAATTCATTGTTACGAATAGCTAATCTAAATTTAATGTATGCAGATCTTGTGACCCGTCGAGGACGTTTATCTGTCGTTCGCATTATATCTTTGTCCCAACCTCTTGTTCCAAAAGGATAAAAAAGTGGATATACCCATGGCTCTACATTAGGATCCATTGTACTGACTTTTTGTAAAACTTTAGTTTCTTTGTTACATACTACAACATACGAATCTGGAATTTCTCCATCAGCTGTAGTTGAAAATACAGCTGCGACTTCATTTGTTCTTTGAAAATTATATCTATTTTTATCCATGCCTGGTTTTAAAGTAAATAGCAATTGTAATTGAGGGATTTTGTCATTGCTATCTGAAGCTAATCTTTCTTGATTACGTATTTCTTCTCCCATCATTTCGTATGCTTGACAAAAAATATTAACATCACGAAGTACACGATCAAGACTTCTTAAAATTTCGGGATCAAGATGAACATTAACATTTGACCTAATTTCTGTAGCTTCGTTTGGATCAATTATAAAAAGTTGTCCATAACTTGGATTTTCACCCAATATGGGTTTCAAAGTTGTATTAATTTGATAATAAATAGAACCTTGGATTTTGAAGCAAAATGGTCCAGAGCTCCTTCCCCTAAAATTTACTAAATTCGCATTAAAAGATGCAAATGATAATGAACTATTATAACTGCGAATATTCTTAAAAAATTCATTAGATTTAGGGTGGTTTCCTTCAAATAAAGTTTTAATTTCAATAGGTGGTTCTGGTAATTTTTCAATAACTACCTCCCCGTGCCCACAACAATCATTAAACGAATTTTTCTTATTTTGTACTTTTTCATCAGGAAAATGTTTTGCATTGCAATGTGTACAAATTATGTCCATTGGTCCATTATAATGTTCTTGAATTTCAGTAGAATTATTTGTAATAATTCTTACAGATTCTGTTCTTTTACGCTCTCGACAATTACGTTGTCGTTCATTAGTTGAGGTGGTTTCACTTTGAGTATGTATTGTTCCTTCAACGATTTCTTGGACATAATTTTGTTCGTTTCTTTCCCTTATTACTACATTTTCTCTATAGCGTCTTTGATTCTCAGCTTTTCTTTCTCTTTGAAGACGTTTAAATTCTTCCTCTTCTTCAGCTGTACGGTATACTTTCCTCTTGGGCATAATAATTGAATTTAATTAAAATTTATTAATCATGTAAATATATTTTTATTTAAATTTTAATATATCTTAAAATTTTAATATCAAATGTGTAAAGTTTCTGGTGTCAGGTATCTAGTGTCTAAATGTATCTAGAAGGGTCTTTATTATTAAGACCTTTAAGTAAACCTTGAACCCTGAAAAAAAACATTAAATAATTATTACTATATATACACAAATATACAGAAGAACTTTAATTATCCGAGGCACTGATCATGTTCGAATAATGCGGAAAAACTCGAATAAAACGGATTGAGTGACCAAGTCTAGAAAGAAATTTTCACAGAACCACTATCAGGGTGTTTACTATTTTCGTTTAACAAAATTCCCGGTTTTATCTCAATTATTCCCGGTTTTTTGTCTCATCTAAATCTACAAATTACTTCAAAAATTTTCATTAGAGTTTTTATGAATAATTAAATTCTTTTGACGAGTTTCTTTAAATTTTTTGAAAAAAAAATTTTAATTTAAAAAATTTTTTAAGTTTTTTAATAATTTTGATTGAAAATTTAGAAAATATATTTTTAACTAATTCAAATTTAGAGAAATGAGAATATTTTTAATATTTATAAAAATTGAAATAAAAAGCGATTTTTTAAAAACAAATTAAAATAATAAAACTTTTTTTAATTTTCGCGGTTAGTTGACACCCTGTGACTATTTATGTTCATTGCATTTAAAATTCAGTTTATTTTTGTCATTTAATATTATTATTCTAATACTTTAAATAAATAAAAAAATACTTTAATTTTTTTAAATTTTCACATGTTCGTGTTATCGAATTTTTATATTAGGGTGGAGTCCCATGACAGCGTTTTGCGTTGCGTCGTAATGGGAGAGAAAAAGACGCAAATATACGTTTGCTGCATTCTCTCTCATTACAACGCAACGCAAAACGCTGCCATGGGACTGCGGCCTTATCCGAGGCATCTCTTCTCCACATTGTCTCCGAAAATTGAGGTTCTACTGTATATAGTAATATATTTCTACATGAGTCAAAATGAAAAGTAACATTAATCAATCAATTCTTTAAAAAATACATATACACATAATTATACATTCCCTTAATGTTAACAAAAAATTCGTTACTTTATTTACTCATTCAACTCAAAGCAATAGGATTTTGATTATTATTATTATTATTACAATTGTAACTATAATTTTTTTAAAATCAAAATTCTATAAGATCCATGCATTTAAAAAACAATTAATAAATAATAAATTTTATTAAATGAAAATTTGGTCAAATGCAAATTGTTTAACTTTCGGAAAACACACACACACATTTCAATCAATTTTTAAAGCTCAACCAATTTTAAAATGTTTATCTGATGAAATTAAAGAATTTTGTTTAAACATAATTTTTATGAGTGACAAAAAAATTCTTCCCAACACTTTATATTTCTCATTAAAAATATTACATTACAATCAAATTTTTTTTTTTTTAAATTTGGCAGTAAGGTTATTAAATTTTGTTAAAAAACCGTTAAATAAATTTAGTTAAATAATAATTAAATTAAACGATTTAAAGTGAATTCTATAGTTAAAATTGTTCGGGCAATAATAATAATAATACTAATAATGATGATAATAGATAATTATAATAAAAAAATATTTCCAGAATTTTAACAATTATCTTGACATTTACAATAACAATTTTTATTGCGAATATATAATTATAATAAAAGTTGTAATAATTATGTTTATAAAAATGTTGATTATAACAAAAATATTTAAAAAGAATATATATATTTTTCTACTTTGATTTTCTATTTAGAAAATTAACCTTAATAAAAGTATTACATTTATTTACGGAAATACACATTATTATTTTAATATTATATTAATACATACCTGCCTAATATGTAGTAATCTCCAGTAAATTTTTATTTTATTAATTTAAAATTAATAAAAATTTCCAAATTCGGATAAATTATAATAATTTTCAAAATCAAAATAAACAATTTTCAATATTTCACCACAGCACAACAAAACAAATTACGCTTAATAATTCGAAGAACACAACAAAACACATATCGCGAAATAAATGTCTTTATTCGACTAAGAAATATTATTTATCACAAGAAAAAAGGATTTATTAAATTTGACGTTTAAACGATTAAATGTCAAAACGCGAAACAAACCTGAATACTGTCCATAATGAATTTGTAGCGAAAGTAAAGATATTCAAGCTAAACCAATCAGCTCTTCGGAAAAGCGGCAACAATACATTTCGAGATAATCGTGACAAACCTTTTTCTTATTAATGGATTTATTATTCCCCAGCATAAATCCGTCCCTGTTTTCTCTCCAATTCGCATCCACGCGAAGCTAGAATCGAGTCGTCACAATTAAATTCCAATGCATCACCAATCGTCGAAACACGACTTCACATTTTTAATGATATATCGAAGACGGACTAACCTTTTTTAATTTTCGAAGGCTTATTTTAAAGCTGAAATTCTAACGAATATTTATGTGTTTTTAGAAAAATATTATCTAAATTTTTCTAGATTTTTGAAAAAGTTGAAGTCAAGAGACAAAAACGAGAAAATTTGGTAATTTTGTTTATTTCTTTCTCACTCTACAACTCAAAAAATAGTTAACAAAATGACTTCAAAGACGGCTTATTTTACGCAAAATTTAATCAGCTTTCTAACCTCATTTAAGTTTTTTTCTATCTCCTTTTATTTACGAGATATGATTGAAAAAGTGATGGCATGTTTTTCCATAGTGGCACGGGTCAATATTGATCGATTGGGATATCCTTGTGCATAGCTAATTTTTGTCACATCATAAAGGAAATTCAGCCCGGAGAATGCAAAAAAACCTTCATAAGTAAAAAAACTGTTTTTCAATTTCTTGAAGGTGTTCCACAATTATTTGTCAAAAACTGGATTATATAATAGCCACTTAGCCCTTTCGTGCCCTCGAATGACTCTGAGGTTGGATTTTGTTGAATATACTTACTCGAAAACTCCCGAGTAATGAGTATCAAAAAAATCTAAGGTATTTGTAAAAGAAGTTCGCCATATTGGATCCACCATTTTGAATTTTAAAAATGTAATACTATAAACCCTTCCATATGCTATGTATTTTCTATTTTAATGTCATTAACTTATTTATTTAAACAAGCAAAGCAAACTCAACTTTACTTTTATTGTGTTACGGATTTTAACGATGAATTCATCGTTATTTAAAAACATTTCTGCACAGCAATGCATTTATTTAGTCGACTTAACCATAATTTGGTTGTTTTAGACAAACTTTTTTCCGAGTGAAAGTTAGTGAAACCTAAGTAAAAATTATTTAGTTTACATAAACACTTCGTTCAGTTTAATAAATTTTATCTTCAGAGATAAAATTCATGTTTGCTTAACTGTATATGTCAGTGCATTTATTTAATTGTTTTTTATTTTAAACAAATTTTTCTCTAAGTGGTTGAAATCGAAACTTTTTCTTTTTTTATTGATAGCTTTGCAAGAATTTTTAATGTTTAATATAAATTTGTAGGGTAAGGGGTCCCAAGCTGGCCACCCATCTTTTAAACGACTGTAATTCCTATACGGTATTACATAACACAGGTCAACAAAAAAAGACTTACTTTTTTTTATGAGATAGCGGAATGGTTTCCTATGTATTTTTGGACGCTGAACACGATCCCGACTTCCAAAATTGGCCATCACGTCAGGATTTTGAGAAAAGTGGGGGTAAAGACCCCGAAAACGCTTTTTTGAGGAATTTCAACATTTATTTTCTCTTTAACCTGACGTGCTAGAGACTTCCACAAGGTCTTAAATTAAAGCTTATAATGTGCACTAAAAGACCAATATCCATAAAATAAAAAAAAATAAAAATTTTTTTTAAAAAAATGAAATTGAAGACACCAAAAATTTGTGTTTTTGGATTGCTTTAATAGACTTTTTGCAATTGCTTGGATTCGCATGAAACTGGTTACTTGGGGTTTTTAAGGTCACTGATTACGAATCCGATATTAGTTTGCAAAAATTAAAAATGGCGGATTCGTAATCAGCGACCCCAAAAACCCTGAAATAACAATTTTCAAGCGAATCCAAGCAATTCTTAATTTTTACATCTGCCATCTTGGTTTCGCCGTTTTAAATTTTTGCAAACAAATATTGGATTCGTAATCAGCGACCCCAAAAACCCCAAGTACCCATTTTCAAGCGAATCCAAGCGATTGCAAGAAGTCTATTAAAGCAATCCAAAAACACAAATTTTTGGTGTCTTCAACCCCATTTTTTAAAAAAAATTTTAATTTTTTTTTTATTTTATGGATATTGGTCTTGTAGTGCACATTACAAGCTTTAATTTAAGACCTTGTGGAAGTCTCTAGCACGTCAGGTTAAAGAGAAAAGAAATGTTGAAAATCCTCAAAAAAGCGTTTTTGGGGTCTTTACCCCCACTTTTCTCAAAATCCTGACGTGATGGGCAAATTTGGAAGTCGGGATCGTGTTCAGCGTCCAAAAATACATAGGAAACCATTACGCTATCTCATAAAAAAAAAGTAAGTCTTTTTTTGTTGACCTGTGTAATATATGCCCTGAAACTGTATCTCCTTAGCTACACGGAGAAAAATAAATAGTAATAATTACATATACTATTTTCGATGAAAAATTACTACTTTTAATTAGTAATATTGAAACTGCTCAAGAAATAGTAACTTTTGCTTCGTTTTTAAAGAATTTTTACTTTTTTAAAAGAGTGTAATTTACTTGAAAGAATATAAATTTTAAAAAGCCGAGTAATATTAAAAATGTCCCGAGCAATTAATACTCTAAGCGAAGCAACTTTTATTATGAATCAGAGA